ATCTGTGACCAGCTTCGTCTGGTTGAAGTTTCTAAGAAAGGCAGAGTAAAAAATAATGATAAAATAGTAATGTAAACACTAGTGAAACTTTTATAAACATTTAAGCAGCAATTGATTCTGAAAACCTATTATACTAGAGGGTTCTCAGAATTACATGAAAAAATTGTTTTCTCTGATTTTACCCAAGTAAATCCTAAAATTCCAGGATATATTTCAGTTTTACAAAATGTTCAAAACTGTAGTGCACTATAGCCTACAATACCGACATACAGAACTCATTCCTAATAAATAGTTATATTGTATAATATCAAAAACTAAATTGTCACCATAGCCAATCAGTAAGGATACACACACTTTGTACAGTAGGAGCAGAACTTGAACACAATGATACCAGCATTCTAGCATTAATACATAAGCACATAAATATCTAAGATAATCTTTTAATCAGCAGGTCAGTGTCATAATTACATGAGTTTATCCGTTTTTTTTTTCAAATTCACTGAGTTGTAGTTTCTACAAAATGCATACATATTGCTCCATTATTAAAAAGAAGCACCATACAATTCCACTTGGGAAAACTGTAACAGGCTAAGTGAAATACAGGCAACTATGGTAATCAGGAAATATCAAACTAGTATAAATTGTTTTCAGCACCGTTGATGAGATATCATTTTTCATTTAGAATTAAATTTTCACAGCATTTGACCAAGTGATCATCATCCAACTACAGCAGACAAACCTTTATCATTAATATAATTACCAATTTTTGAGGCAGCTTTTTCACACTTTTTCCAAGTTGTCTTGCATGTTGAAGTACCTATAAAAAATGATGGCTCATTTACATAAATTAATATTAAAACAAACTGATAGATACATTTTTTGATAGATATATTTTTTAAGAAAAAAATTTCTTGTCTGATTTTATGATAGTGGATCATTAAACTTCACTTCCACTTTTAAGAGCATTGAAAAGTGGTGGCCTAGTGATTTTATTGTAATTCCTGTTCAACAATGTCACACCCAAATTAAAATGAGTATAATAGAGCAACTGTAAAGTATATTTTGAATACATTAGAAAAACGGGTTTGCCATTGCAATGGTTGTAACACACATTAGGTGAAAGAATAAAAATGTGATGTTACAGAAAATGTGCATAAGTCTGCTTGTTTCCAGCCCAGAATAAATTACCCTACTCGTTCTGATTCTGACATATGACAGAGAATACATAAATAATGATAAATCTTTAAAATGCTATTCAGTCTGACCATTTTTAATAACCTTTGAGTGTATCTTGAATAACTAAGTAGAAACTTGCCTCCATTCTGCAGCGTGATGATACAAAGAGCAGCAACTTTATCATCCAAGAAAGCCTTGATAAACTTAGAACTGTTTATTGTTCTTCTTTAATAGGAGAACAAGTACAATCCCAGGTTTATATTTAAATAGGTAGACTATTGAAGCGTCCTGTCCCTCCTGTTCACTCTACTCATGCAACTGCACACTTATGCTGGATGTTACTTATGTTTCTTTTGTAACAAGAACAAGCATGGGAATTAACATGATTTTAGTTAAAGGCAGAAAACAACAATCATGTCTTTATAAAAAATTACCTGTCACAGTATCCTTGTAGTCTGAGTCATTCTGTTGCTTTTGTTTTGATGTCACAGGCCCTGTCAAAAGAAATATAATCAATTTTAAATGCTGGTTAAGATTCTCAGTCTTTCAGGACATGGTAAATCCAAAAATAGGTTAAAGTCAAAAACAACTGGACTTTTATTCTGCAGATGAAGATGTTTCGCTTCTCAACCAAGGAGCCTTCTCAATTCAAAGAATAGGGAGGGTGTGGTTTGAGTTATAATAGGTAGTTATATTTATTTGTCTAAAACAGGTCTCTTGAAAATGAGTCCTCATGATTCAATGAGACTAACCTGTATAAATAAAGGTTGAATGAATGAATAAAATTAGGTGTTCTGGAAGCTAGATTCACATGCCGATTGTCTTCTCACTCCTTACAATAGAAGCTCGTTAGGATCTTTGTTTTTGTTAGTCTGACTCACAGATTGGCCTCTTTGGACACATGAAGGTCTTGATTGGTGTGAAAATGACTGGGTATTAGGTCTAAAGCTGTATTATAGGTATTTGATAACTGACATCTGAGACCACCTCCTCTGTATGAAATTGGTTTCTTTTTTTACATAGATGGCTTCCTTCACCCCCTCTCAAGCCAATCAATCAACCAACCAAATGAATTCTAAACAATTGTAGCAGCATACTTTTCTATATTTGTATATAATTCCCAATTTAGTACATCCAGATTTTGTACAAAATGTCAATTGTTTTCTGAATGTGAACTTAATTGGGTAAAATAAACTGTTTATATTGGTTTTGTTACCCTCTTAAAAATGTCTCTTAAAATGTGTTCAATTAATTTATAACAACCTTGTGATTGTCAGACAATTAACTGGCATGCATGTAGTGTCAAAATTAAAATAAATGCTCAAAAAGCAATCCAAAAATCATTATATCAGAGAAACATAATTTTTAACTTAAACTAACAAAAGGTATATGAGGTAACAGCTACATCAATGATACAATTTATGAGTCTTTCACACTCATATAGTTAAACATTAAAAGTTTATAGAAACATGACTAACAAAAATAATTTGTGTAAAATACCAGAAAAAAGGTCATCACATTCAGACACCACTTTCTGTTTTCTAGTAGGTGTTGAAGAACCTATTGGAATACAAAGGGAATAAAAGTCACTATTTGACAGCTCAGCAGCTAAAGAAAAAAAAGAAGCTAGTTTAAAAATGTTAGATTACCTTTGAGTGCACATCCAAAACCCAACTCTTTAGCATGTGATTGGTTCCTTCTGGATCTGGAAGAATCTAGAAAAAAGAATCACATTGTTGTAATGCACCAAAAAGCTTTGCCCCTCCATCTCCTCTTACTAAGGAATTCCATGGACCTTTCAGAAGGGCCCAGTTCAATAAACATTCTGTCATCATTTCAGGACTCTGGATTCGTCCTTGTTCATCCTCGACACCCACTGAGTGTGTACGGATCTCTCCAGAGGGAACTATTTAAACCGAGTGATTTTATATGAACTGTGCAGTGCCTCGGTGTTGTCTCTGGACATGCTCACTGTCCTTGCGTTTTCTCCCGCGGACTGTCGGCGTCATTATGTCTTATGTGCGAGATTTTTTTTCATTATCACGCAATTGTCCTTCTACCAAAGATTAAAAGCATGTTAGGAATTTTTTTTGTCTCCAAACACTATGTCATTTTTCACCACTTTTTATTGTCTGTCCAAACAGATCTCACTTGTAAATGAGTCTTTGAGGCTCAATGTGACTTATCGGTTTAAATAAAGGTTGATTTGAAAAAACTAAACAAAACAAAAAAACAGCAACATTATTTACCTTCAAATGAAGAGCAAAAAGATGACTCCTCCTCCATCTCTTCCTCCTCTGAGACCTCACCCTCCATATTTTCTGGCATTTCCTCTGAAAACCATGGACAACCAAATTAGTTTAAACATATGGATAACAAATTTGAATTTAATTCATACATGACATTTAATGTATTCACCATTAGGATCTATCTGGATTTGGTCCATGCTCATTCCCTTGAAGTCTGACAGTCGGCCTTGTTCCAGGGCCATCAGTACTTTGCTCACTTTAGCCAACTGTAGAGTTCCTTCAGGCAG